TCCCAATCATCATACTCTTTCCCTAAAATAAACGCCCCAGTTACGCTACCTACACCACTCTCGCCTGCGCAACCCTAGGTAAAAGCTCGATATTATCCTACAAAAAAAGACAATCGTTAACACACAACACAGCCCAACCAAAAAGCCCCCAAACATCACACCGTCATTGCGTTAGGATTCAGATGGACATTCGGAGGCGGATGATTCCCTACTTCAAAATTGCTCACATTTCTATTATGGCCATGCGCACTATCGATGCGCCCTTCTTCCAAATCTCCCGCGCGAGTCATGTGACTCTCGTAGCTGGTGGATTCGTGATGTTCGTGATGACGGAGGCCGCCGACGGGACTATTCGGATTACTTGCATAGCTACCGACTCCCACGCCGGCCCAGAAAGCGCGGTCGGAACTGCGGGGTCCCCATGACCAGCCTGCACCTTGGGAGAGAGGGAGATGGTAGAAGCGGAATGAGAAGATGGCGGTGAGGACGCCGAGGAAAAATCCAAATAGGATATCGAAGGCGTGATGACGGAAATCGGAAAAACGGGTTGAACAGATGTAGACGGATAGGAAGGTGGGAATGATAGTTATGAGGAGGAGGTAGAGGGGAGGAGCTGCAGCTTGATTACGCGAGGCTATTAACTTATCGTTGTGACCGGATGTGAGAGCTGACGTATCCATATTCTTGGCGGAAACTTCAGAATCATTACGTTGATGACTCGGAGTATTGCGGGATGGAAATACAGAGTGAGAGAGTGAGGAATCGGCGGTATAAGCTTGAGGAGCAAGGTAGGGGACTGTCAAGGCGAGTTTGGATGCTAGGAAGAGACTGAGGTAGACAAGTCCGGAAGCTGCAAAGGATGAGTGACCAGAAGGATAAGATCTGAATCCATCATTGAGAGTTTCAGCATCTGTTTGTTGACAGATACCCGCTTGAACCAAAACAATTCCTTCTGGTCTATCACCACCACCAACAGCCCACTTTGCAATGTTTTCCATATCAGGAATACATCTCGAAATCAAATCCGGACGAGGTCGTCCAAACAGATTCTTCATTCCACTCGTGATGACGAATGCCAAGGCGCAGGATAATGAGAGTCCGAGCCAAGAAGCGTGCAATTCCCATAACTTCCGTTTCCAAATCAAAGCTTTGGGTACAGATTTTGGGACTGTTGGGCCGGGAACCAGAGTCAGAGTGACGAGAAGAATGACGAGTGCAGGTACGATGAATGATAAAACGGCAAGCAGAGAGGTGGGAATTTTCTCGTGATTTTGAAATGGAAAACTGATATCTGGATCGACGAGTGAAAAGGGACGTTTATTGGGCGTCTGGTAATTGAACACGGAACCGAGGGCGGCGGCAATAATACATATCACCCAATCTGATACGTATGAAAGGACGACGACGATGGATATCTTTCCATTATTTCGAGATCTCAAGATTGAATTCATGGTGACAGATGCCCATCAAATTGTAAGGAAAACGATGATGGATTCCCCCTTTAAAAGAAGAGCGGGAAAGATTTGGAGAATAGAATAGATACGTATGTGTGTTCACTGCCGTGTGTGATGTAAGAAGTTTTGAGGCTGTGTTGTTGCCAAGAGTAGGTATTCAAAAAGAAGTTTGATAGCCTTTAAGGTTCATTCCTGACGTGAACAATTGTTTGATTGAAGGATTCGTTGTGTCGAGAGTCTCTTTCCCCCAGAAATCCAGATATGGAAATTGATTGTTAGAGGAACTGATGCACACGACCTTGTCTTGACGTTGATGTTTGAATACTTACGACTTGAGATAGATACCTAGGGAGAGTGTAATAAAGACGATCAAATGTAAATATGAATGTACGAAGTACTGTGTAGATGAGTTATTTATGATCAATTGGCGCTTGCGGAGGTATCTACGAGGTACCGGCGAGGTGTCTAGTAATGAGATGTCAAGCTCGGGTTCAATTGAGGCTTTGCTTCTCAGATATCTGGCGCTGTGATGGGTCTATTGGCTCTATCACTTTGATCAATATATGGGTCGGTGGTCGAAAAGTTTAAATATTGAGGCAATGAGCTTTACCGCCATCTAGAACTCTTTCTTTTTGCTGCTGGATTGGATTAAGTATGACTATGACTATGACTACGACTACGACTACGACTTTGACTATGACTATGACTGATTATAAATATAAATATAAATGGAATACGATGTCCGGTTAATGCATAACTTCGATTTACGAGAGTGAAGTTTTACGGAGTAGAGATGCATGTTTCATGCCACTTTGTTGGTAAATGATTTCTTTATTATTCTTTCTCTGGTCAAGCCACGCAGTCACCTGCCCTGCCTCTCACCTGCCACACGCCCAGCCGCCACATCTCAAACCACCTGCACCTCCAGCTGGGCACGTAACCTTTGCTTTACATTTGTTGGTAACAGTAACTTGGTATCAGAGTGAAGTGAAGATCTACACACACCGGCATGAAATGGCAGTCTGGGCAATCTGGGCAATCTGGGCAACCTGCACCCTGCACCCTGAAACCCGGTGGTATCAAATCAGGGGGTTCATTGGCGTTTATTATCACCCCGGGGGACAAAATCAAAGTTTCACCCCAATAATGAATTAATTGATTTGCTGTTACTGCTTGCTTACCTAATACAGGGGCTCGTAATTTCGTAAAGTCGGCCAGCTTTCATCATGTTCGGTAACTTCGGATCACAAAGAAAGTTTCACGTGATTGATCGATATCAAACCTCAAACTCGTTTCTTGATATTTTTGGAACGCTATGAAAATCCTCAAACATCCTATCATAATTGATTATGGAAAGGAAAGGGCAGGCAGGGCAGGGCATGAAAAGAAACCGATACGCATCTTTATCGCTGAAGCTATGAACGAAAAATGAAGCCATTTACAGGTCCAATACACTTCCCAGCTGAATTCAAAGCAATTCATTTCTCGACTTCTCATTCATTTCGCTCCTTGAATACCAAAACTCCAGCTGCTGTTAATTATGAGAGCGCAAAATATCCCGGAATTCTTTCGACGCTCTCACACTCACTCCTTCTTTAGGTGTCGTAAGGTGGTAAGAGCCCTCGCTGAATTCGAGGTACCTCCCTTTCTTCAACCACCTCAGGTTTGAGCCACCGTGGATTGCAATACAACTCACAAACATGACGTTTGAAGAAATCGTTGATACATTGAGGTCCCATATCTGATGCGCCATAGAGCCTTTGTGGATCATCCGATGCAATGGCTGGGTCTGCGAGGGTACTAGTGAGCGAGTTAGGGAATATACTGATTTCTGAGAAATTCACTGAGAAACAGTCGAAGAGATAGCCTGTAGGAAAGCAAGCTTACTATCCATTGGCATCTGCACCTCCCTGAAGGTCGCACAATAGCATTCTGCGGTCAGATATGTGATAGGAAAAGTGACTCAAGGCTTGAATTGGACCAGCAAATGCGTCATCAGGCGCAACCCATCCTGTGGGGCTGTTGAACTTTCGGTAATCCTTAATAAATGGTTCTATAACGCTTACGGCTCCCGTCTCGTTGTCAGTCCAAAGTGTCGACGGGATGAGGCGGACTGGGTATATTGGTATAGTACTTCCAGCATTGACTTTATCACTATGCCATTCTGATGGCGTGTTTGCGGCATTGAATGCGTCAATGATAGATTGTGCCCTTTTATCTATTTCAAGTTGCTGCTTGTATGGATCATCACGATACACAGGTCCTGTCTTAAATTCCTTTAATACACAGCGCTGACCAGATCTTTCACCATTTGTATAGAATCCATCCTAGTCAGCTGATCAGTACTCTATTCAAGTGGGAGGCAGCACAGCAATCAGCATTAAGAGGAGTACAGTAACGACATACATATGCATTCTTGAAATTTCCCGATTCACACACCCGATCCATATAGATCGTGGCTTCTGTACTATCATTAGGGGGATTTCCACCCACATTTATGGTCATGTTGGCTATGGAAAATTCATCGTCGGAATCAGAATGTTCCAAATCATCCGGGGCATCGTAAATTAAAACACCGGCCTTGAAAATATTGGCCATATTGAAGTGATCTTCCCGCATTGTGACGTACTCTAATGATACAGTAAAATGGCGGCAAGTCGAATAACCAAAAAGGACGATACACAATGTGTTGTGTATATTCGAAGTTTCAGACTTGATGATGAAGAGGACCGATAATAATAAGTATGAAATTTGATTAACCTAAATTGATAATAAGTATTATGTTATGCGTGTCTGAAATGTTGGACTTCGATGAGGAAGACGTTTCAACAATTTCGTGTGTAAGATGTTTCGCACAAGTGGAAGGCTCTATTTCTCAATTTTCCAATTGCAGAAGGTTCCATACATTGATTCCCAGCAGAGAAGTCTGCAGCTTGCGCGCAAGCAGGAAGGAACCCCGTGAGTCGATGCGCCATTTCTTCAAATGGTTCAACTGAAGGGAGTTTGTTCGTCATATTGCTTCTGGGGAAAGAGTGTGTTTCTTTCCAAGTAAAAATACTTTTACCGACGAGCATCTGCATGCTTCTGTGGTCCCGATTATATCACACAAATAGTTCAGTGTATATAGTATCACTTCTTTGAGGAAGGGACCAAGTGGCCATGGCAATAGCGACCAGTCTCAGTGACCCTTCATAGATCACCAGCACCTTTTATGATAGCATCAAGGCATGTTCGTGCTTGACACCCTTTCAAAGCCAACGATTGGGAATAACAGTCAATCAATCGTTCCATACCGAAAGTTCTGGTAGTTTGACCCAGCTGTATTTTGGAGCTCATTTATGGCTTTATCTCATATTCACTGTGTGTTTGGGCTTAAAGGTTCTATTCACTTCACAAATATACGCTCAATAAACTTCCTCTAGCTTTCACCATGGTTCCACTTTCCTTACCTTTGACTTCTTGATGCTCTTTCTTCTACTCTACATCTTCACATTTAAGTAGCTTCAAACATCAAACCAGATTAGAAGAAACTAAACACATCCAAACATGGAGCATGTAAACGGCGAGATATTCGTCGTCACAGGTGGAGGGCAAGGACATCTCCACCCCTGCATCGAGCTCTGCACACGTCTCACCGCACGCAACTTCAACACCACCCTTATTATCCCCGATCGGGGTGTCGAAACATCTCTCGAGCCTCCGTCTTGGGTCCCCGCAACACTTCCCCAATCATTCATTCAAAACCCTCTAACTTCTTTTCTCTACATCACTCCTTCATCATCCTTACCCCATGTGGTTGATCAATTCCGCCGGGAAGCAACCACTCAGCTCATGTTCCGCATCACCGATCACATAACCTCAGACTCGACACCTCCTATTATATGCGCAATTATCGATATCCAAATGGAATGGACTCAAGCCGTTTTTGCCGAATGTAATATTCCAATTGTGACGTTCGTTTCCTTTGGCGCATGTGCCGCATCTATGATGTCTTATGTGATGAAACTAAAAGCAGCGGATGAAAAATTCGAGCCTGGAGACCAAAAGAAGATCATTAAGGGATTACCAGTGGAAATGTCTATTACCCTAGAAGATTACAAGCGTTTCGACCGAGAAGTATTTGCAAGTTTGACGCCATCTGACGACGCTGAACTCGATCCCACCCTCTTTTCTGAAACCCCCGAACCAGGAATTCTACCGCGATGGTTTATGGCAATCAATGGCACCATTGGAATAATGTACAATACATGTGAAGAATTAGAAAAACCCTTTCTCGAGTACATAGCCGCTGAATTGAAAATCTACATGCCGGATTGGAACGTGCCGATTTGGGATGTAGGACCCCTTTTACCAGAAATATACTGGAAATCCGCGAATGATAATTCGCTTATCAGAGGAAGGGAGCCTCAACGCTTATCAAATCATTCAGAAGAGGAAGTCCTCGCATGGCTAGATTCTCAAGGAAAAGATGAGGTACTCTACATCGCATTCGGAAGTGACGTCGGCCCTGACCTAATCGGGTATTCCCACATTGCAAAAGCTTTAGAATATTCCTCGATATCTTTTATCTGGGTGATACCCCCACTCGCCGGTACACCCAAAGAGTCACGCGAACCAGGGGGTTTTTACCCCGCAAATCTCGCTCTCAAAGTAGGAAAGCGCGGGTTGGTAATTTATGGATGGGCCCCGCAACTCCTCATCCTGTCGCATGTTTCTACGGGTGCATTTCTCTCGCATTGTGGATGGAATTCTACCGTGGAGGCGATAGGAAGAGGTGTGCCTTTTTTGACGTGGCCGGTTAGGGGTGATCAGTTTTATAATGAGAAATTGGTGGTGGAGTTTTTGGGGATTGGGTATAGAGTTGGGGAGGATAGGGAAGGCGGGGTGGGGAATAGGGAAGAGGGAAGAGGGGTTGCGGGAAGAAGATGTTAGGAAGGGGATAGAGAAGGTGATGGGAGACGAGGAGATGAGAGGGAGAGCGAGGGTGTGGAGGGGAAGATTCGGAAATGGGTTTCCAGTTTCGTCGGATTGGGGGTTGAATGCGTTTATGAGGTTTGTGGTGGAGAGGATGGGGTGATTGTGTTAGGGCTGTACTGGATTTGTTTGTTTTGTTTGTTTGTGTCATTTTTTGTACAGGGTACTTTTGGGGATCTTCTGTTTGTTGCGGAAATGAACTTAGATATCGATTTAAAACCTTAACAGAGTCACTAGGTTTTTGTAAAGAAAATAATAAGTTCTGATAAGTGGCTGAACACTAAAATAGTAAACCTATCTACATCCCAATCTAGTAGACAAGTATCGTTGAGAGATACTCTAGTATACTGGGTGTAGACACTTTTCAACAATCGAATTATAACTTAGTGTTCAATACAAGCGAGCATGTTATACCCGATTCCAATCATTAATTTTTTGAAAGGAAAATTCCCACAATATAACCAAACGATAAGTAGCTAATCCGCACCAATCCGCTAGTGTTCACACCTGGCACGTAAGAGGGTGTTCCAAAGAGACCCTCGAACCTTAAGATTGTCTGCATCCGTACAGTCACTAGTATCTCAAAAACAACCAAGCGGTTCTTCAATCTAATACACAATCTTGAATCGACTTTATCTACTGTATCAATTATATGGCTTACCATGCATCAGTTACGATGGTTATCTCTAGGTCATGTGGAAGTATCTATCTAGAACGTGAAAATATCTAGATCCATCGAGGTGGTACGATCATAATGAGAGTATATCTATAGGGGTCAAATAACCTAGAATAAGAGGGCGAAAAAGCGAGAGATCTTTAAGGAAGTTTTAATCTCTTATATAATAAAAAAGCGCTTACCTAGTTAGTTTAAGCTATTCTTAAGCCAAGGTAAGTGTGGTGAGTAATCGCATAGATATGTGATATTTCGTTACAAAGGTGATTTAGATGAGATTTCAAATAGGAAGTTAACTGATGCTAATGACAAGTGTGAAATTTTTGTGACTGTCTATGTAACTGTTGGTATTACCATGGGGATGGTGAAAGAAATCTAGTACTATGGTTCACACTATTGTAACATTGCTTGAGGGCCTCAAAGCTAAGACTTCGAAACCTGAATGCTGTGATGTTGGGGTGCTATTGCACATGCTAGCACGGTTACTTAATCCCTATCTCGACAGTAACTAAATCTGATGACTGTCTTAAGCATCAAGCTCTACAGGAAGGAAATCCATCCTGGTCATATAGATCTTCATAACTAGTCGAATTAGTCCTGCTTATTAGTATTGATCTGACTGATTCTTCTGACTCAGTGTTCCTACGTAGATATAAATAAATTGAGCTTATTCAATGATCTTTGTATTACACACTTAAGCGAATGTGAAAGAGAATAGCTCTTACAGCAGCTTTTATATAAGGACTGCTACTTCCTGTGGATAGACACTTTTTAGATAGAATGCAAAATTGGCAATTAGGACCTACCATCGCAGGTGCTACGTCAACTGTATCCCTCTCATACAAAAGACTTCCTTCGCTTGGGCAGACCGAGTCATTTCTCGTGACCTATGTTATGTCCAACATAACACTTATTTCAGTCTCAAGCACTAACATTGTAATTTTTCAACACGAAGATCTGAAGTTCGGCAAAAACTTTAGCAAAGAACCATATTTTCCACATTCCAGCCAGTTTGAAGAAAGTCGGATTCCAAGTTATCGAAAATAAAGCCATATTGTGACCAACTTGAACCATTCATGCCTCTGTTCGAGGACACGAATAGGAACACGCCCACCCTCCGAAACTTCGACTAACTAGGTTCTGCCATAACTGGAAAGTTATCCGGTGCTATTTGATCATAAGTGTTTTCCATCTCGGAGTGGCCGTATGTCATAGCCAACGCACTTAGTCGGAAATGTGGTCCCTTATCCGTTCTCCGCGTCTCTGGAGGGGAGTACCATGAATATCTCCCCTCGATTTCCACAGGCGGAGAGGATTCTTTCCACCAGAGCCAACCACCGTAACGATCCAGCAGCGATCTTTTCAGCGCAAGACAAAACTTGCATGGAAAGGAATCGGGGGAGTTCCGGCAGATTAGGCGGCGTCACCGTTCGCTCATAAATAACTCCCCCCTTCCAAATGTTAACAGATTCTTCAATCTCGAGACTGCCGTGTCGACTAGGCCTGAGGGAGTCGGCATATGGGAAGTATAGCACGGATACGCCATCTTCGTTCTTCAGGGCCCCACCGGAATCGGCCTCATCCAAGGTCAGCTGTACGGAACATATCGCGTAAAGGGGGGATTCAGTCACTGTGCTGGAATTCCCGTTACTGGCGACAAATGTTGAGACCATTGGCTTGTTTCATGAGATTCTAAAGAGCTGAGATGGGAGGCGAGTACAGCGTGGGGGGGGCTGAAATTTACCACAGAGATGCTATCGGAACCTTTGTAACTATGTGTATGTGTGTGGTACTAATGCGGCAAACATTTTAAGTGGTTGAATATACCTTCGCCGATCACGATGGTATTCGCATATTATTAGCTGCCCAATTGTGAGTAAACCTTCATCTTTGACACTCGATATGCTACATGCGATTCCCCGCACCTTGATGGAACCAATTCAATATCGTGATGTGTGGACTGCTTACTTCCTATTAGGCTAATTAGATCTGTGTAGTATTTGAATTGAGTTCAGAAGGTAAAGATAGCAAACAGCTCGTTTAAGGTAGACATTCCAGGAAATCATATCAATATAATCGTGTCCTTCTCTCTAAATTGGTTAACTTATAGTCTGCAAGTCAAAGTGAGTGCTGAAAGTCCTAGAATGGAAATGGTGGGGATTAAAGTATGCTTTACATAATCAGTGCGGCTTAGTAATCAGCTCACTGGTGGCTCTTCACACTTCAATATAGCTTGTGTTTTGAAAATTACAGCATTTGAGCAATTGAGTGGATTTGTTACTTAACGGGATTGAAAGTAGAATGAATTGAATATTATACTACTATATATATTATCCCCCAGTGGTCGTTATGTTTTCATTGCCTGCTCAGTTCGTCGGGTCTTTTACTGTTTGTTTCGAGGGGTGTGAAATGTTGGGTGAAGAGGTTGCTTTTATATTGGGATTTAACCTTAACATCAGTATTGACTTTCATATTTCTACTGTCAATATCATAGCATCAAGGAACTACCATGATAATATCACCGCCTCATTCCCATCCACAATATTCCATCTCCTACAACCCCTCCCTCAAAACCAATTCTTAACCAACTTCACCAACTCTTCCGGACATTCCTCTGGAACATAATGACCCCCATCAACCGAAACACCCTCCACCTTCCCCCCACAAACCTCTTTCCAAAGCCCTACTACATCCCCAAACTCACTTCCACACGCGCCCTTTTCTCCCCAAACCACAAAAACATCACATTGAATCTTCTTCCCCTCTTTCCTATCTCTTCTCTGCTCTTCAAGATCAATCGATGCCCCCGCCCTATAATCCTCACACATACCATGCACACTCTCTTCATCTCTCAATAATCCGTCATACACTTCTCTAGCATTCGCATCCATAACAAATTCTTTCCCCACTCCACCTTTCCCTAGGAATTTCTCAGAGAAAAGGTTAGGATTCCCCAGAATGGCTTGTTCGGGGAAAGGAGAAGGTTGCGAGAGAAAGGGCCAGTGCCAGTATTTTTGATACCAAGTGTGTTTTCCTAACTCGTACATAGTTAGAGTGGGGAGAATATCTAGAAGCATAAGCTTTGTGACGGCTTCCGGATGATTGATGGCGAGTTGATGGGCGACACGAGCGCCGCGGTCATGGGCTAGGATTGAGAATTGGGGATAGCCGAGATCCTTCATTACGGTTAGAAGATCGGAACCCTAGGAGGATGTTAGTGAGTTTTGTAGAGTGTATGAATTGTATGGTATAGAAAGAAGTTCTGGAATCGCTGACTGATTTAACGATTCCTCCACCCCTTTCACATCTTATTATTTCTGGAATCGTGAACAACTAACTCCGCAATCCTTCTAACCTACCACCTATTTTACATTCCTGCAAACTAACACACAAACAGAAACACCCGTAACACACCACCAAACACAAAAATAAAACACAAGAACCTACCATAATACTCTTACTATACTCCCTATGTTCCTCACCACCTTTCGGTCTAGAACTCTCCCCATAGCCCCTCAAATCCACCAACACAAGAGAAAAGTGATCAACCAAATGCGGCGTAACTAAATGCCATATATGATGAGTTTGTGGGAAGCCATGGACGAGAAGAAGAGGAGGACCATTTTGGGGTCCTGTAAGAGTATGGATTGAGATATCGGGGTTGGTGGAGATGGATTGTGAGGTGAAGTTTGGGTAGAAGGTGGCGGATGTCATGATTGAATGGTGGTTGGTGTGGTAGAAGTTGGAATGAAGCAACTGAGAGGGATTTTATGTCGGATGTTGAGATTTCAACGTATATAACAATATATGTTGGTATAGGATCACGAATATGAATGAAAATGGGGATAGAACAGTATCTTGGAAATGCGATTGGTATGTATGGTGATGCCGAATCGCGAGGTGATTTATAAGACATAAGGTTAGATTATGACGAATGCGGGGTAGTTATAGTGGGGGTAGAAAGTCACTGGCATTTATAAATTCCCTGAACAGTTGATCGTGAGAAGCTGTTGATTGGTACCTACGCTCCTAGGCATGTGCCCCTTAAGCTGCACGAGATTATCCTGTCATTCATCGAATGGTATTTTCTACATACGAGCATGCAGATAATACTAAACTCCCAGTCAAAGCTAATTCCGTCCTATAACTTCAGATTCATGCATCCCTCACGAATAGGCAGGCTTCGAAGAAACCCGTTATTCTTTTGTATGTTCATAAATTGTACACATTGATGTTTATCTAGGTATGATACTTGTAATATTTCCCACCGACTGCCCTCATATCAATTCTCATCAGAAATCCTCATCCATTTTCATTAGTCGTCAAACTCCAAAACTATGCTCAATCGCTCAAGATAGGTATCCGCTTATCAAGCTTTTCACATGCGTCTCCTTTCCCCAACTCGCTAACCCTTTCGTCCCGTGTAGATAGATACCACCCTCTCGTCTTAAAAGTCATTCCACCATACCCAGCCAGACATTATATCATAAGATTTCCTGCATAACCTTCCGCCGTACCAATCGTATATGCCAGCCTTTTCAAAATAAGAAGTATATCGCGTTTTCCACTTTGAATTCCGGGTGGACTCTCACGAAATCCCAATCTGTCCGCTTTCACCTCAAATCACCAATCCCATAACTCCGGCCGCAGCAGCCGCATATGGCAGACAATTCATCATGGTTGGTCTTGGAATCATTGCGCCCACTCCATTAGTCCCAATGACAAAGGTAGCAGTTGCGGCTGCCGTACCGAATTGCGCACATCCAGCGCTTTCAACAGCGTCACAGGCAACGCTACTCAAACTTTGACAGACGCTTGCTGCACTAGCTGCTGGCAACCATCCCCCACTGATGGTACTTGCAACCACAGTAACACCGCCGTTTGCAGCCGAGATTGTGATTCCCGCGCCCATTCCTCCCTCGAGATCAACAGTACATAGCGCATAATTCTTAGCACAAGCATTCGTCGCGCTAGCACATGCTGCAGAGTTGACATAACTAGTAGGCAAGATAGGAAATGGGAAATAAGCATTTGGGACGAATGTTCCCGTTGCAGTCGCAGAAACTGATGCTGGACTCGTTGCGGTTGCGACTGCGATAGTACCAGTACATGATGCGCCAACGGCACAACAAGCTATATTATGAGAAGCATCTGTTGAACATACTGCGGCTGCAGGACAACAAGCACCGCCATATGAATCTTTCAAAGTAGAACAGGAGTTGTAATTGCTGGGGCAGTTTCCGTTGCGTTTGAGGAGTTCGGGTTTAGGTCTTGAGGAAGCTGGTGAAGTATCTGGGAAAATAGTTTCATTTGATATTATAGATGATTCTGAGGAAATATCAAGGTCGAGGGAAAGTGGTGCGTAGAAAGGTTCTGGCGGTGAGAGTAACGATGGGATTTGGAGAGCTGTGGTTGAGGTGAGGAGGGAGAAAGCGAGGAATGAAGAATGGTAACGCATTTTGGATCGTTAATGTCTGGAGATATAGGTCTAGGTTAATTTCAATGATTAGTATGAATATTAGGATTGTGTATGGAGAAGAAGAAGGTCGAAATCGTCCGAGGAATGGAAAAAGAAAATTACCCGTTATATTATTCCAAGGTTCGTTGCCCAACCACCTATTTTATTAAAATCCCCGCCAAATGTACCCAAAATTAACCTTATATTGCGCGAATGGTGATTGAATGGAAAGTTGTTCAAACCACTGAAGATTTCACTGACTTCAAGATCTAAATATACGTATCAAACGATGATGAAATCAGAATACTTCCTCACCGAGTGCGCCAGCTGTTGCATTCAGGTACCAGATACATAATTATCTGCAGATACCCTAGGTAGGTATCGACGGTTACCACGGGGACAGTATTCGGTGAGGCTAAAATTGGAGGCGTTTAACCTTAATTCGAGTGGCTGGGGTGGATTGAGGAACTTCACCGCCTTGGGCAAAATTCGCTTCCATTCAGTCAATCGGGCATCAAATTATACTCAGCTACCTACAATGACTTTTATGGGTGGGTTGGAGTGGAGGGCTATGTGTCTGTCATATTCTACAGGGCTTTGGGAAATGTTCTTCCTGGAATAACACTTCACTACTCAAGTCTATCATTTTACTAACTTACCATAAGGTTACTGAGAGTCTGGTCATTAGCCTATCAAACTTCGTCGACATCGAATCGACCATCCCGAGAACGGGGTACTAAGTTGTCTAATAATACTCGAGACCAGGTCGAAAGGTCAATCAAAACCACAGATCTTTGTGAACCCTTATGTCTTATTAGTCACAACCTATTTTACGAATTGATGGCAATTCACATAGACGGCCAGATCCTTATTGTGGCACTAGGAGAAGATACAATACTTCAGTGAAAAGCAATTGCTCAGGCAAAAATGACCACACCATGCACTCACTACATATTGCACACATTTCCATAGAACCAGGTTTGAAAAAGAAGATCCGACCTTAAATGACGATCAAGGACTTAGATTGCTTGAAGGAATTCTCCAAAAAGAAACCCTTGGAACAAGCGTCATATTAGTTGGCTAGCAATAGAAGTCTAGTTTCTCAATGAAAGAATGAGGGACGAAAAAGGAAGAAGAAGACTGAGGTCAGACCTCTAACGTCAAGATATGGAAAGCAAAGGAAAGTGAGGCTACCAACGCTACGAGACCATTTTTTGGCATATATTGTTCGGAAAGCTAGAGAACATACTCGAAGATGAACTCACAATTCCTGTCGACCACTACAGAATGGAACATTGATGAAGATGAGGCTTTCTTACGCATCTTTTTGAGCTGGGAGTAAACGTGATAGAAGAACGGGAATGCCGTGGAGTCTCTCGCCCTCGCAACGGCGCAGAAATCAAGATCGACGATAGGATTGAGAGTAACCCAGATGGTACCCTCATGTACCAGCATCGAAACGGCTTTCTTCTTCTTACGCCTTCCATTACATAGATGAAGTCAGGATGGCTCACAACGCTGAATACAAAGCAACGGCGTAATGGTCATGGATAAGTTGTTCTGTAGTTGACTTGCACTTCGCAGTGAATAAGAGATTTTATATAGTTGGTCAAATAGGCAGCATGGTTATTGCCCATTTCTGCTCTTCAGATCGATTGAATGGCATTGATTTGCACTGCTCTGATGAACTCTGTGAAAGCCGTGTATTTAAAAACGGACAAGGGAGCGCTCCAAACAAAATCATGATCAAGGGTCCCTTTCGACCATATCTTCACATGTCTTTATGAGTTGTATTAACTAATCGTTGTCATTCGCCAAATTTCTTTCAATATTATCAGTGACTTTCCAACTTCATTACCTGAGTACCTTCAGGTATCTTCCTTTGACAACCCCAACTCAACCAGCCTTTCGTACAAAACCCCACTCCAACCTTTTCCCATCCATTACAAAAAAGTCAGAGTGGATAATCCAAGAAGCGCAGGAAGCAAATCCGTCGAAGAGAACGAAAACAAAATGGAGCTCGACATATCAGACGTTAGTTCTGAAGCACCAGAACTGGAAGAACGGGAAAAACAGGAAAAACCAGAACGGGAAGAACTGTACGAATCAGCAGAGCCTCCCCGCCGAAGGAACCGTGGTATTGACGATAGCATCGTAAGCACTTTTCCATTCTACTACTTCCATCGCAACTTACTGACCTTTTCATCCTCTAGATCCACGCCCATGGTGAACTCCTCAAAGCTTACTTGAGCATTCCATCTCGAATCTCCAAGAGAAATTCCGAACTCAGTACTTGCAGAGACCTACTCGAAGGCTACAGAGCCGAGAACATAATCCGACAAAACGAAGCCAACATCGAACAGAAAATGCGACGATTCGAAAACGACGAGAAAGAATTCGTGGAACGTTATATCAAACCTCTCATAGAACTACTCCGTGCACAACCAACGATCAAGTGCATCCCTGAGAACAAGGAAGTCATGGAGCTGTATGAGAGACGTCATGAGTTGGAGGAATTGATAAAGAGGTATGAGGAAGATCCTAATCTCATGGTACATGGAGAGGAGTTTTTGAAGTATTTTCATGAGAGAGTATGGCAGGAACATTTTGTGAAAGTTCAGGAGAATATTGATTGGTGTGAGGATGATATTGAGGAATGTAAGAAGCTGCGAGAGGATTTGAAGATTATGTTGGTGAACTCGGGGATTATTTTGAGGGGGAGAGGGATTCCGATGAGACGGATTGATGATCGTGGAAATCCTGTTGAGAATTAGCTGTAGGGTGGGTCTTGTTACATGTGGTTTTCTTATGTCTCGAATTTCGAGATTTTAACGTGTCAACACGTAACGATCACTAGAAACAGATTTGCACCTTCTCTTCAGTCTTCAAGCAAATATGTTTATGTATTCAGATTTTGAAACAGAACCCCCTCGCAGAGAGTCGAGTCACTAGCATGTACTGAGCATCTCATCTCGGTAGTTCATGAGCAGAATAATTGAGACACTCTGAACTTTGACGCGCCTCGACCTTGTTCCTCCTCATTTTATTATTATGGTGTGACGTGAGCGAGTTATTCCCATTTCTGGATCTCTTTGCTCTCTTTTCTTGGAAAGAGGATATACACTACCTAGGTACGGTGTAGAAAAGTATGAGGTTTCGGCTAAAGTTTTGTTGCATACCTGAAATCCTTTTTTCAAGTTCTGATCATCGTCGATCAGGTTCAACTAACACATCTGGCTTGAAGATAATCACCAACGTTGCTATTTGCTAAGTGATCATGTTCGTATTTGTGTGAGCCTCAACGTTGCTGTTCTTGTCAACCTTAATGATCATTTTGTAAACAATGTCCGTGTCAACTTCAACGTTGACGTTCAGCTGAGATCTCTATACAGCAAGATGCCTAACTACAAAATGGTACCTTTTGTCCTGGCAGTACAAGTCTGTGATGGACCAATGCGTCTACTAAATTTTTAGTTGAATATCTGAAGAAATATACTTCAATGACGGTCTCAATAATCACCATCCTCATTGATTAGGATGGCCTATTCTTCCTATCAGGATCGATCCCGGGTGAATACAAGTACTCAGCTTTAGCTTCCCTACTTCCACCTCTACTATCCTATCACTACTATTGGAATAAACCTCCATCAGCCCTGGGAATCGAACGGTGCCGTTGGCCTCAACCCGAATATTGCCATTGCCATATCCCCATCTGTATCTGAACGCCTCCATTGATTTCCCATGCTTCAGATATGCAACAAAACTTCCAAAAATACCGAGTCGAATTCTATTAGACGAAGTAGTTAATGACCCACCTAACTATATCTCCTCAAGTTTTGTTGCACATCTCAAAAACACATATATGCTAGCTCCTGCTAGCCCATCATTAGTTCATTGCTAGCCCCGATTTAATGCTAGCTTTCATTCACGCGAAAATATATACGCATGAGATATACAACAAAGCTCGTGAAATTAGGTACAGAACTGAATTCTATTGTGAGCGAAGTAGTGATTCGACTACATTTTCTCAGGTTTTGCTGCATATCTGAAAATCATTTACAACTAGCTCCTTGCTAGCTTGTTGCTAGCCCATCATCAGCTGATCGCTAGCCCCAAAGCAAATACTAGCTTTTCACTTCTGCGAAAACCAATACGTGGTAGATGTGCAACAAAACTTTCTGACATTATAATATATTCACTAACAAATGCTCTTGTCTCAGGTAGTATGCGAGGATGCAATTTCAATGGATCGAAATGTCAGCACGAAGATTTCGTTGCATATCTCAAAAATTATATATGCTAGCTCCTTACTAGCCTTTTACTAGCCCATCATTACTTCACTACTAGTTCCAAATTGATTGCTAGCTTTCACTTATGCGAGCATTAATACATATCAGATATGCAACAAAACTTCTTAGATTCACATTTACAGCGTATTCACTAATAGCTATTCTCGTCTCAGATAGCATGGGACTTGATCGATCAGAATTCCAGCATGAAGATTTTGTTGCATGTCTCAAAAATTATATATGCTAGCTCCTTGCTAGTCTTTTACTAGCCCATAATTATTTCACTACTAATTCCAAAGTGATTGCTAGCTTCACCCTCGCGAACATTAACACATATCAGATATGCAACAAAACTTTTTTGTTTGCAGTTCATTCACTAAGAGCTATTCTCATCTCAAATAACATGCGATATCGATAACTGGAGCAATATGTCAGCACAAATGTTTTGTTGCACATCTCAAAAATTATACATGCTAGCTCGTTGCTAGCCCATTAATAGTTCATTGCTAGTTTCAAATTTCCTGCTAGCTTTCATTTAAGCGAAAACGAACATATGTTAGATGTGCAACAAAGCTTTTATGTTTGCATTGTATTCACTTATAAATACTCTCGTCCCAGATAGTTTGTGATTATAGTATATAGGAATTTCAGCATCAAGGTTTTGTTGCATATCTGAATCTTGACAAAGGTGAGATATTCATTTTGATGTGTTCATCGAGATCATTGAAATTAAAGTCAAGCAGATTCAACCCGACTCCAACCCGAACGTTGCACTTCGCCTTGAGAATCCAACATCAACCTTGCCATTGGATCAAGTATTCCCACCCACTATCGTGCTTTCCCAAAATTCACTTTCAACGCTTATGATCTATTCCCACCTGCTGGAACAAACTCCAAGTTTGCGCTCGCTTTTCTATTGGTTACAAAAACTTGATTACGTCAACTTCGAGATCGATCAGATGTGCAACAAAACACAACAAGGGTCTAGATTGGGATCTAGATCTTATTCGATTCACTCCTAGAAGGTATTGAGTGTGCCTACCATGGTTGTAGATGTGCAACAAAACTCCCTGGTATACTATATATAGTATGTTCACTAATAATTAATATATGCTATCATCTCAAGCGAATTACAACTTTGATAGGTTGGATTTTGGTAAGTCAAGGTTTTGTTGCATATCTAAAGATGGAAATTCGTTCTGGAATCCGATCGATAAAATCAAGGGACATAGATCTCGGGGATTCATCACTAGATCATCCTCACTAGTGAATAAGGGTTATTGCACAATCGAAGCCAAGATCCTAAATATCACGTTTGTTATCGACGGGCATCAGTATACAAGCTCTACTTCCTTCGACTCTAGACCAAGTACGATCACTTGATTAACCACAAGCAAACACCCAAACCTAACATCTCTACTACCAGGTACATAGGTAGTAGTCATTGCTGATTGAAACATACCCGCGCAAACAATATATACAACAATTCTTCCGGCAGATATAATCTCCAAAACTCAAAATAATTCTATCGCATATCTACACTTCACATCTAACACAGTTCTCTCGACCCACGCACACACAACCCACCAAAGCTAACCACCAAACAGCTTCCCAGTAACTCCATCTACAGATACAATTCATTCTCAACAATCTTACAAGTTACAACTATCAATCTCTAAGAATGAAACATAAGATCCCATCGAATATCAAGGCCAAATTCTACTTGTCAACGTTCATGATCAATTCCGGTTCAAATGTCGAGTCTAAATGTCACTCTTCACATGATATACGATACGATAATTTATCAAGCTCCCCATACTCTCATCCCATACATCCCATCCATCCCATCCACATCCCATCCACATCCCCCCATCCCAAACCATCTCATCCACATCCTCAAACAACCATTCCATACCCATCCTTCCTCTCACGCAACTAAACCCAGTAGATATCAAATCAATACCAACACCTACTCACTCACCATACGAGTACCACCTCTACTGGCTGAAACTCAACCTCAACCAGTTAGCCAACTCCCATCTTCACATGCGCTAGTTCGGGATACCTAAATACTATCCATTCAGGTACGCATCGAGAGTTCTCAGGGTTACAATTGATGATGTTCACTCACTAAAGATCATGATCATTGACTCACCGCCGCAAAGCCGTTCAAATCAGATATGTAGCAAAGCTTTCTTGTTGATACTTGTATCCAATAAGACTTTGTCTCTCATTCCATAGATACCTCAGCAATCGATCTTTCCACCTCAACCTTTATATCTTAAACAGAGCACTCCTCCAACAGTATGTGTCTACTTCAAACCCTCTGAAATCTAAATTGCATTAAAAAAAACAAAAAAATAAAAAAAACGCAAATACATCCGATCTAGAAAGCCTATCAGCTAACCAATCCTACATTCAGGAAAAGCGTCCTTTACATTCATGAACAAGAAAAAAGCTTTCAACTAAATAATATTACACATGGGTATCCTATCCTATTCGTATATTCTTCCATCCATTCATCCAGATCCCACTTACAAAATCCCTACCCAACTACATATACACATTAACGCCAAACCAAACCAACTTGAACCATATATTTCCATCCGTAAATCTACCCACAAAACCCACCCACCACACCAATTTACACCCAATATTTTCCCCCCTATTCAGCCCATCAATGAAGACCAGTACTCCCCCCCATTCCAGCATCCAACACTAATCGCTATTAACAACCCTCAACGTCCTCCTCGGATTCATCACCACATTAAAGAAACTCGGTTCTCTATCCCCCAGTAAATCCTCCAAGCTACTCGTAATACTCCCCGTGCTTCCTACACTCCCCATTCCCTTTCTATGACCTCTCCATCCCGCTCTTACACTCTCATTTCCCCCCATTACAACCCCCTCATCCTCTTCATCAATGGTTTGATAAGATGCTCCTCCCGGCATGATACCGCCCCCATAAACATACGTTCCACTCCCCCTTCCACTACCCGCTCCCCTATCCTCATTCCCACTACCGCTACCACTTCCTTCATTCCCCGAACTCGAGAGACCTCCGCCTTCAGACCTAAAACTAGGAGTCTGTACCCCACCTGCTCCACTGATATCCGTCCCGAACGGTCCCAGCATCACTCCTCTCTCTTCTCGACTTGATCCACCCGAGCCCCTAAACATTTTCCCGGCAGGCACAAACGCCGTTCTCTGTGACATCGCCACATGATCTTTATAAAGGTTCAACTGTCTCCTATAAAGCCAAGTACAAAACGCCAGATACCCAGCTAGAAAAGCTAATGCAGCTGCAATGACACCTGCAATAATGGCTGCTTTATTTGGTCCGTTTTTGTCCGAGTCAGAAGATGACGTTGGAGTAGAAGTTGAAGTTGAAGTGATAGTGGATGGGGATTGTGTTACTGTGAACGTAGGTGGTTTTCCCGTTGCCAAGGGACCAGCAGTTGCCGATCCTGCTGCTGGTATAGTCA